AACTGCCCAGCGAGCCCACGCGACATGGTGGTTCAGGGCCCCAGCTCTGAAGCGAGGCCCTTGTTGTCCCATCCTGCCTAGACCCCAGCCCACTGTGAAGCCTTGGACGGGTGACTTGACCTCTCCATGACTGGGATTTCTTATATCCATGACATGGTTGTTGATGTGATTAGATCAATATATGTAAAGGGCTGAGAATACTAGGGTGACATGGGTGCCATGAGTCAGCACACGTGATAACATTCCCAGGTGTGTCCAACAGACATGATGAAGCAATGTGGCCTTCCTTCTTGCTGAACTGCCTCATGTCCCCCTCAGCACACGCACTCCAGAACACAGGGCTTCCACATCATTTGCTACAGTCCACCGATTCACCGGAGGCAGCGGCTGAGTCAGCTCACCTGCACCAGGCTCCACACCACATCCTCCATGGGCAAAGCACACCCCGGTCAGAAGCCATGATGCTGCGTGGGGAGTTTGGCACACAAGTGGGTGCCTGTCACCTCAGACACCATGCCCTCAAAATGTGGACTCGGGTGCTTCCAGCCATGCCAACACCTGCGCATGACCTGTGGTGGGCGGCCCTGTAGAAAACCCTTCCACCTGTCCCCATGTCTCACTTCCCACAGAGCAAGTGCGGTTGCCGTGTCACAGACCAAGAAAGGTCAGTCCCATCAAACACATCATGGGCCTCAGATGAGCACACACATCTCCAAGCCGCTGCACAGCCACTCGCAGGCCCACTACAAGAAGTGACTCCCCCAGGACCCTGGTCCCAGGACCTGCCTTCAGGAGGCTGAAGCCCTCATGGGAGAAGCCACATCATAGAGGCTGTATTTGGCCACCAGCGAGGGAGCCATGGTGCAGGAGACACATAAGCAGCAACTTGCCAACTCAGCCTACAGAACAACAAGTGTTTCTACCAGCTCCCACTGATTGTAGGTTCTCAGCCAGCCCCGCCCTGTCCAAATTCAGCGCTTTGTTCTTCTCACAAGGCCCAAAACCACAAGACTGAGCTCTGAGAAATGGGGCCATGTCCCTGAGGACACGAGGAAGTTCCTGTGGTACATGGGAAGTGGGCACATCACAAACCTGTGACATCACGGAGATTCTGGAGCCCGCGTTAGCACTGGCCTCACCACACTCTCACCCACCTTTAGTGGGTCAGTCATAAGGAGACAAGTGCTTGCTTTGATTTCTTTACCTTCTTTGGTAATTTTTTTTTTGAGTCAGGGTCTCACTCTGTCACCCAGGCTGAGTGCAGTAGTGCAGTCATGGCTCATCACAACCTTGACCTCCTGGGCTCAGACCTCCCACCTCAGCCCTCTGAGTAGCTGGGATTACAGGTGCATGCCACCATAACCGGCTAATTTTTGTAGAGATGAGTTCTTGCTATGTTGCCCAGGCTGGTCTCAAACTCCTGATCTCAGGCAATCCTCCCGCCCGGCCTCCCAGAGTGCTGGGACTGCAGGCAGGAGCCACTGTACCTGGTGAAATGAAATGACTAAACAATTACCCAAAGCTCGGAAAAGAACACAGGAGGACTTGGGGTGCACCCACTATACTGAACTGCTGCCAAACCCCTGTGATTCTGATCAGACATGTCCATACCCACCTCAGCCCCACTGCTCGTGTCCATGGGCTGAGGGAAGCACAGCCAGAGTCTCAGAGGCAATGACTCTACCTTCAAATGGAGACCAGGAACTCCAGCCTCCTGGGGCTGTTGGAGGCTCAGATAAGGTCACATACACAAAATGTACGAGGATACAGGTATGTAACGGGCACTAAGTACGTGGTAGCTGCATCATCATCACCATCAGTCACCGCTGATCATCCAACCGAGGGAACTGAATGCCAATCACTGTTATGTGGAACATTCAGAGAGAGCCCAGAGATAATCCAGGACTCAGTGAGCTGTGCCTGTTGCAAGGAGTCAAATCTGGGGTGTCACCGCCAGGGCAGAAATAACAGAAATTTCCCTTCTAACATCACTTGAAGGCCTATGAACTGAAAACGGGTATGAGGGGCGTGACAGCAAAGTTCTAAAACAGATTGTGGGGATGGTCACACGCTTCTGTGATTGGAATAAAATCAGCACACTGTGCACTGACAATTGGATGTTCATTTTGCCTCAGTCAAGGTCCCAGAATGGTTCTCCATGGTCAGGAGCTGAAGGGGATTCCACAGCAGGAAGAACGGACATGACCTTGCACGCAGCAGAGGACAAGAAGAAGGAAAGCATGAGAGGCTGATCAGAGGACACCAGGGCAAGGGGCAGGCTCTCCAGTGTGTTGCAGGGGAGTCCCCAGAGAAGTGAGATGGGAGCAGGGAGGTTGTTGTGAAAGGACCGAGAATTTTCCCACATTGATGAAAGATACTCATTCCCAGGTACAAGAAGCCCAGAAAATCCTACATAAGATGGAGAGAAACTGAAGCTTAGACACATTCCAGAAAAACAGCAGAGTCGAGCGGCATGAAGAAAGCATCAGCAGCCATGAAGACAACCATCTTCAGAGAGCCAGACAGAGCTGACTTCTCAGAAGCCATAGGGAAGCCCAGGAGACCATGGAAACTAACATGCCAGAATAGCTAATGGCCATCCAGCTTGGGTCCTGGATCTGCAACGGGTTTTTTTTTTTTTTTTTAAGAATGAAGGTAAAATGATGATTTGACAACAAAAACCCAAGAGATTTGCCACCTACAGCCCTCCACTAAAGCAAAGCTACTCCCCTGTGTTTTACCGTCACTGAAACCACCTATGCTTCCTGCGCCAACCTAGAGTGTCCAGGGAGTAATCAGGTGAGGTCCTTGACTCCCAGAGCTCAGCCTCTTGCCATCACCCTCATGTGGTAACCATGTTCCTGGGCACAGGTGATCTTTCTCAGATGCCCAGAGCTGCCAGCAATGCTTCACAAGCAGTTAATTAACATTTTCGAACAAATAATCAAACGTCCCATCAGGGTTGGGAGGGAGAGGCCATCTGGGAGGAAGAAGGTCCAGGAAAGAAGGGAAACAGAAACAGACAGAACGCTCACCAAGGGGTCCTATGAAGGTCACCTCAGGCATGGGGGGAGGAATGGGGGGTGAGAAGGCAGGGGTGGCTGGGCCTGGTGGCAGGGGGCAGTGGATAAGTGATGTCTGTCCGCTGGGTGGTGGGGAGCCAGCAGGGGAGACCAGAGAATGGTACCCCAAGCTCAGGCACCCTGAGGTGAGACCTGGATTCCAGCTCCCGGCACATCTCCCTCCCTCCCCACCCCCCGCCGCTCCCAGCAAGCTAAGCCAAGAGCCTGGGTGACTCAAGACCAAAGAAAGGAGTCAACCCGGAGAACACTCTGGCATGGATAGGTATTTCATGCCAACGGTTCCTAAGTCTACATGTGAGGGAGTGGGTGGGGACAGGTTAAACCAACATGGAAGTGACTGCAGGAGCCCAGAAAGGACATGTCTGGGAATAGAGACAGCTCCCACAGGGGGTGTTATGGTCCTGAAAGATGGGGCATGTGGACAGCAGGTGACACTGGGTAGGAGGCTGGACACGTTTGTGACCTCTGACAAACAGAGAAACTGGCAGGGAGGCTGCAGCAGGACCAGAAAGTGGGAATCCCAGGCTAAAACATTGGGATTTCCACTGAAACACACAGCCTAAGTTTTGCAGCGATGGTGCATACTGTGTGCACTGGAGGGAAAGACAAGGTCACAGCACATTCTGGGACCGCAAGTCTCAGGGTGGGCCAGCACGGAAGCACCCTGCGCACTCGTCAGGCTCCTGGCCATGGGACTGACGTGCTGGGCACACGACAAAAGCCTGGTCTTGGCCCGTTGAGGCGGACACCACCTCCAGGACTGTGAGCTTCGAGCGTTGATGTGCCCAGGGTCACACAGAGGCACAATGCAGAGACAGGGCTGGCACCGGGACCTGACCTTAGTGGAGTTTGGACACTGGGCAGTGGACATAACTCTGCTAGGAAATGCCGGGCCCCAGGGAAGTCGGGACTCCACACAGGGCCCGTGGCTGCCTCTAACCCCAGGTGTCACCCACAGGAAAAGGTGGGAAGACATCGACACTCTGGGAAGGAAACTCTCTGTGTGGCAGTCAGCTAGCATCCATTCACACCTGGAGTGAACAGCCTGGCTGAAGCGCGGGTCTGTGTGTTGTGGGTTGACATGTTCCCTCCCTTTCAATCCAGGTCACTTCTCCCCTACTTTCCCAACCTTCCTGTCAGGAGAGGCTTCTGCCAGTATAGACGTCAGGTCGTTAAAGGCAGTGAGGGCAGAGGCTGTGTGGCACCTCACTCACTCTTAGCAGGACCGTGTGGCTTGGGTGGTTCTTCTGTTTCCAGCTGGAAGGACTCTCGGCCCTCACATGGGTGCCAGGGTCACGAGGGCACTTCACACACACGACAGTGCCCAGCCACCAGGCACAAAACCCCTCCCCCGACATGGTCGTAAACATGGAGCTCAGCTATGCTCCAGACACAAATAGGAGCATGGTTGCTCAGGGGGCCTGAGTCTCACCCGGAAACCACCTCCTTCTACGGCCCCAGCCAGCAGGAAACCAGCCGCTTTCTGGGATGCCAATGTTAAGCTCGTCGATGTCTTTACCATGTAGGTTAATTTTTAGGCAATCTGTTTTAAGGAAACATGCCAGTTGTATTAGAATAGGCCACATGAAATTGTTGCTGTTTAACCATTATTTTGCTGATAAAATGGTCATTTCATATGAACCAACCCACTAATAATCAGCCATGTGTAAAGTTTTCAAAAGGTTTTCCACATCTATTTTCAATTTGAATAGAAACCTTGGGCTGCAGGAATGAGGAAATATAGCACTTGTGAAAATTATTAATAAATGTCTGCTGAATCTTCCGACTATGTAACTGCTGGTATAATCTACATCCTGTATGTATTCTATGCAAACTGGGTACAGTCCACTGTTGGGGAAAGCACTTTAACACTGTAAAATTTAATTTCACTGAGCTCAAAACAATCCAACGAGTCTGTTTGATTTATGTATTTACATTTTTATTAGAATTCTTCAGAACTGTCAACAGCTGGACAATATATCAGGATAAAACATGAAACACCAACAGCCTTGAAACTTACACCGCTTACATATTTACACATAAAGTTACTGTATATATAAAAAATATTTTCAAGGACTCATGGGCTTGGGAATATTCAAAAGACATTATTGCTACATTTCAATATTTACAAAAAAAGCCACAAAATAATTTCAAACATTAAGCCACTGCAAAGAAATATCTGATGTAAGAAAAAATTATAAAAATATAAACTTTCAAGAACATCCAACACAAAACTCTCATGCAGCGCCCTGAAGTACCTGAACATTGACAGTAATAATCACTTTTTTTTTTTTTAACCGTGATCAAAGTCAATAGAAACGCAAAAAAATAGTTCAGATAAAGTATGGCAGACAGCAACAATCTTGGTTGACAACACCTCAAAACCTGCAGGCTCTGGAAAAGAACATTTGCACAGGATGCCAGTGCAAGTGGGACTTCCGGGCAATGGTCACAGGCCCTGTGTGTCAGCTAGGGGATGGGAGGGCACAGGAAGGCCAACAGACCCAGAAAGTGGCCACGGACCCTGCGTGTCTAGGGACAAGGAGGACATAGGAAGACCAAGAGACCCAGAGTGGCCAAGCTCCTTGTGTGTCAGCTAGGGGACAGGAAGGTGTGCCTTGATCCAGGTCACAGTACGAGGGGCACACTAAGCACATGCCCATGGACAGTGGCATGGCAGGGGTCTCAAGGCAGGTATAGGTACAGACTCTCACAGCAGAGCACCCTAGGTGCAGGCACTCTCACACAGGTGGACTGCATGTGGGCAACAATGTGGGATTCCAAATGGTTCCTTAGATGGCTGTGTGAAGGCTAGCAAGGGCACCATGACAGTGGAAGCCATGAACTTCCTGGGGACTGAGGGCCCTCCAGGACTCAGTGCAGAGACATCCCAGGACACCTGTTTGCACACACACACTTATGCACACACACCTATGCACACATACAATGGCCAGCATCCAGAACATGCCTGCAAAGGGGAACGAGCCTCCACATCATCTCCTGCTGTGTGAGAACCCAGCACCGCCCACCCCTGCATGCATCACACTGGAGCCCACACCTCCCAGCACACACCGTTCTGAAATTGAGGCTCGTTTTGGAGAATCTATGGATCAAGTTCATCGACTACAAGAGGGGATTTTGTTAAAACTGTGCTTGGCGGCTACATTTCTTCCTTAAAGACATGTATGAACTGTTTCCTTCAACATATATGGCTCTCATTCTAGTCCTACACACAGTAGACACAAAGCTGGGGTGCACACAGAGACTAACTTGGGACACCCCTCTGTGCACACATGGACAGGGGTAGGTGAGTATATACAGGCACTGGTGGGGAAGCCTCTCTCCAGCTCAACGCCCTCACAGCAAAGTATCTAAAACCCAGCGGTGGCAGTGCCCAGCTCAGTGTGGCCCACGGCTGCGTCACTCCTCACACGGAAACGCATTCCATGGCCTGGCTCATTCCTGGCAGGAGGTGCTGGGTTCAAGCCCTTGTCCTTGAAATGTGTTTTCCACGTAAAGGGCTTAGATCTCAGCAACTAATCTTACTTCAGCATCACATGTGACGTGTGGCTCCCAAGGCCACATGTGATCACGACAATTTATTCAGATAAACCAACCGCGCTTTCTGAGCAGAACTGGAGAAGCCTTGGAAGGACTTGGGCTGCAGCCTGTCCCTCCCTCACTTTTCCCAAATCAGACATTTTTCCATTCATGGTGGGAGCTACTTTGCTATTGGGAATATATACACTTCGAACCTTTGCAATGGGATGGTGGCTGCGGCCAACATCAGTGGCCACTAAAGTGTGCTCAGACAGGACAGCAGTGGGCATACATGACCCGGAGAGGGATGCAAGTCAGAGGAGGACAAAGTAACCATCATGGAAGCCAGGAGCATGGGGCCGCTGCGGGGGGAGGCCGCCTTGTCCTTTCAGACATCATCGCGCACAAGCAGAGGCTGGGAGGACGAGGCTGTGCTGCCCACAGAGTTGATCCGCACAGAGTGGTCCACTGCGGGCGTTCCGTGGCTGGGGCTGCAGTGGGCCAGGTTGGAGTAAATCTGAGGAGAACAAGTCCAGAGTCAACATGCCAGTCCACATGTAGAGACCGCCTGTCCCCAGGGAGCGCATGCCTGTCCCCAGGGAGAACACATTTGCCCCTGGGGAGAGCACATCTATCCCCAGGAAAAACACACCTGTCGCTGCAGAGAGCACGCCCATTCCTGTGGGGAACACGCTCATCCCCGAGAAGAGCACGCCTATACCAAGGGAGAACATGCCTGTCCCCAGGGAAAACACGCCTGTATCCGTGAAGAGCACACCTACCCCTGTGGAGAGCATGCCCGTTCCCATGGAGAGCTCATCTGTCCCCACGGAGAGCACACCTGTCCCCAGGGAGAACACGCCTATTCCCAAGGAAAGCATGCCTGTTCCCAGGAAAAACATGCCCGTCCCTGTAGAGAGCATGCCAGTCCCCGCAGAGAATATGCCTATCTCCACGAAGAACAGGGCTCCGCACAGCAGGCTTCCCAAACCTCTATGGCCAAAACTCAAGTCATGTCGACAGAACTAGCACAAGCTTGGATTCGCCTCCCCATTTTCCCAAGGAGATCACCTGACACAGGGAGTGGAGAGTGATGGCAGATCCATGCAAGCCACCTCCTCCAAGGGGTGCTAGCCAGCCTACAGAAGGCCTGAGTCCCCACCCCAACAACCCAACAGCGGGGCATGTGCTGAGCAGCCATGGCCCTTCCTGGGTCTCCCATCAAGAATCAAAGCAACCAGGTGGAAAACGCTGTTTAATCTGAAATATGCTTTGATGCCCAGAAGCACAAGCTGCAACCCCAAAGCATCAGTGGCATGCTGTTAGGAAAGATGCTCTTCAGGCAGCTGGGAAAAGATGCGGCTTCAAGGGCTCTGGGCCGCGGGAGGGACCATGACTCTCCTTGAAAGCAGGGGAGAAACTGGGATGTTCCCATCCCTCCCATGAAACCAAAGGATCCTGACTTCAAAGGCCCCTCACGCTGCGCTCTGGGCATGACAGCACCACCTAGCCGCTGTGCTGATCAGAGGCTTCTAGCTGCAGGGCAAGCCGCCTGCTCTGTGCTTCCTTTAGCTTGGACACCCCCACCTCCCAGGCACAAAGGGTCCCCAATATGAGCAGGAGGACTCTGACCCTGTGACCAGTGCCCGGGCAGGAGGGAGCATGGCAAGTCCTTGCGTTGCCTTGTGGAAGTATCTATGAATTCATGTGCGCAGCCTCCTGCCCCTCCCTTCCCC